CTTTTTGGTTTATATAATTCAGTAATATCTAACAACTGGAAATTCTTTCTTCCTCCTGTTCACATCTACTCCAAGATGTTAAGACATTAATGAGGGGCTGAAGAGATGGCTCAGTGGTTAAGAGCACTGGCTGCTCTTGCAGAAGACCTGGGTTTGAGTCCCAGCACCCATATGGCAGCTAACAGCCATCTGTAACTCCAGTTCCAGAAGATCCAACGTCCTCTTCTGACCTCTGCAGGCATTGCATGACATGGCTTCACTTACATACAGGCAGGCAATACACTCATGCACATAAAAAAATTAAAAATAACTAATCTTTTTAAAAATTCAAAAATGATCTCCTTTGAGGAGATGAAGAGGTTTGTGTGACCCTGTTGTTTGAGACAGGTCTGCCCTTATATGCTATGTTAGAAGCCTGGAATTCACAATCTTCCAGTATCCAACTCTGGAATGCTGGGATCACAGGTACGTGTCACCATATTTGTCTTTGGTTTGTTGTTTTAAAATCTCAGTAATAGGGTCACATCTTCATTTTTAATAATTATTATTTTTATTTTATGATGTGCACCCATGTCATGCAGTCCTGGAGTAGGTCAGAAGAGGGCATCAGATCCCCTGGAACTACAGGAGCAGTCAATGCTCTTAACCTCTGAGCCAACTCTCCAGCCTCTTAATGCTTTGTTTTTAGTGCATCATTATTATGGTTCTTGTGATATATTTCCTTTTATCCTTTTATTTCATGCCCCCTCTCCCATTCTCTGTTGACCTTGAATTTTTTTTTTTCTTTTTGAGACAGGGTCTCCTTGTAGCCCCAGCTGTCTTGGGACTATGTGGACCAGGCTGGCCTTGGACTCACAGAGATCTGCTTCCCTCTGCCTCCCAAGGACTGGGACTAAAGGCATCCGCCACCACGCCCACCTTAAAATGTTTTTTTTTTTTTTTTTTTTTTTAATGGTGCAAAGGAAGTCACCTCCTTAGTGCAGTAGGCAGTGTGTCAGTCTCATAAATAGTGCAAAGGCATTAATTTATGTTAACAGATGATTAGACACTGGTATAGGTGGGGTAGATTATTTGGGGAGGTATGAGGGCTTCCCAAGGAACTGTAAATGGCATCATTTTTGCTGGATTTATATTTATTTATTTATTTATTTATTTATTTATTTATTTATTTATTTTTTGTCTTTTTTTGAGACAGGGTCTCCCTGTAGCCCTAGCTGGCCTCAAACTCACATAGATCTGCCTGCCTCTGCCTCCTGAGTGCTGGGATTAAAGGTGTGTGCCACCACACTTGGCTTTTTTATTTTTATGTGTATGAATGCTTGGCCTGTATGTATGTAAGTGCACCTGTGTGGTGCAAAGCCTGCAGAGGCCAGAAGGGGGCATCGGATCTCCTGGAAGTGGAGTTACAGATTGTTGTTAGCCACCTTGTGGGTGCTGAGAATTGAACTCAGGTCCTCTGAAAGAGCAGCCAGTGTTCTTAACTGCTGAGCCATCTCTCCAGCCCCTTATTTTGATGATGATGACTATGATGAATATTTTGATGATGAAAATGATGAACATTTTCTTAATGTAAGTCTTCTTTAACAGTGTAGAGAAACACCCAAAGAAAATGGGTGTATAATAAATAGTAATTGTGTGATTATGATGGTGATGGAAAACTTTCATAGACTTAAAAGATTGTCAACTTATTTACCACACTCTTTCAACTAACATTCTTACAACATAGTTCAACTCTTCACAATTTATACAATAGTTGTATATGCTTAATCAATGTTTGAATAGGAAATAAACAAACATGTATCTTACAATTAGCCATGAACCATTATTTCCTCTATTTTTAACAGATACCCATGAGTTGACATCATGTAACTCATACAACAAATACAATGCTTACTTGCAAGAAGTGAAACACATTATTTTGTATTTTCTGTATCATTTATTGAATACAAATTTTTTACATAGTAAAAAAAAAGTCATTATTGGTATTAACATTCAACCAGTTCATTATTTAATATAATGACTTTTGTAGAGAAAAAAAATGTATTTCTACAGATTAAGGTTTAGTTTGTAATTCTGTTTTGTGATCTTCTTAAGATATGCCAACACTAACAAAAAGATGATGGAAAGTGCTAAATTAAAAACCATTACAGGCAAGAAAGTACTTAGAGTTCCATTTCTTTTGTATTTCTAAATACATTCTGGGGGCTGGAGAGATGCCTCAGTGGTTAAGAACACGGGCTGTTCTTGCAAAAGACCCGGGCTCAAATCCCAGCGCCCACATGGCAGCTAACAACTGTCTGTAACTCCAGTCCCAGGGGATCTGACAACCTCTTCTGACCTCCACAGGCACTGCATGACACAGATGCACTTACCTACATGCAGGCAATACACACATATACATAAAAAATAAAAAAAATTAAGTACAGTCTAGACCTTATCTTTGTATCATTTCGTAGAACTCATGTATCTATATTTTCTGGCTCTGATACTGGGTAGGCAAGAAGTTAGCTATGAGGAAACCGAGGAAAACTGTAGCACAATTTTGGTGGTTGTGTCTCATCTGGTCAGAATGCCCCTTTGTGGTTAACGGTCATACAGCTGCAATTATGTTGTTCATACTGTATCAGAAATTAAGGAGCTCGGGCATTTTCCCAAACATGTGCACTAAGGGTGGTGGGTCTGTATCCTCAAAAGACTTAATATCTTATAATACTTGCATTGTGGTTTTGAACTTCTCCACCCCCATGGACTTTACAGAGGATCATGGGAAGAAATACTTTAAAAGGGATATTCAGTCCAATAAGATTTGCCAGGGAGAAGGGGTCAGTGTACCTTATAAATATGCCACTCACTTCATAAATATTCAAAAGTCTTTATAATTCACAATGCAGAATTCATTGGCTCCCTGTCTTTAGGCAGATCATTCCCATTTCTGTTTGCTTATCTTTTCTAAAATAAACTGCTCAAATGTCTGTCGACTGAATTCCTTCCTTTAGGAAGACAAGAACTGAGAGACCCATACAGGTGTGTGTGTGTGTGTGTGTGTGTGTGTGTGTGTGTGTGTGAGACAGGGTTCAACTTCCTATGTAGATCAGACTGGTCTGGAACCCACAGGGACCCGCCTCTCTTGGCCTCCCAAGTACTGGGATTAAAGGTGGGTGCCACCATGCCTAGCCTCCATAACAGTTTTGCTAATTGGTCTACTAGACTACAAGAGGCTACCTTAAAAAAACAAAACAAAAACAAATGGGCTGTAGAGATGCTCAGCAGTTAGAACACTGGCTGGTCTTGCAGAAGACCTGGGTTCAAATCCCAGCACCCACATGGCAGCTAACACCTGTCCATAACTCCCATTCCAGGGGATCTGAGCTCGTTTCTGTCCTTTGTGGACACTGCATGACACTGGTGCACTTGCATACATACAGGCAATACACACATACACATAAAATTAAAATGAATAAAATACTTAAAACAGCAACAACAAAACGGGGCTGGAGAGATGGCTTAGTGGTTAGGAGCACTGGCTGTTCTTGCAGAGGACGCCAGGTTCAATTCTAAGCACCCACATGGTGACTGGCAACCGGCAGGGTGCTCCAATTCCGGGATCGTTTGCCCTCTTCTGACTGCTGAAGGTACCACAGGACACCGGTGCATTTACATGCAGGCAATACACTCATACACATAAAATTTTTTTAAAATGAAATATTTATAAACAACAGTAACAACATCAAAACCCCCAAAACAACACGATTTTGGAAACTCCTACTGGATTTGAGCAATAGCCAGCTGCTTCCTCCAGGTGCATTTTAAATCAGTTCAGTACCTTATTCATACATAATACTTAAAGGAGTGAATGCAAGTTTTTGTTTACGTTGCTATTTTACAATTGATTTGGGCCTGGCGAGATGGCTCAGCAGTTAGTGCTTGCTGCTCTTGTAGAACTGTTCTGGGTTCCCACATGGTGGCTCACAACTGCCTGTAACTCCAATTCCAGGGATCTAACACCCTCTCTGGCCTCTGGCTCCTGTACAAACAAACTCATGCAAATACATTTAAATAATCTTTGCAGTTGATAAGTAATTTCAAAAAGGTTTAGTTAAACATAGAGACCGCTGTACATCACAAATCTTCTCACCTTCAGTATCTGTAATTGCTATTAGGAGCCAGCAGGAGCAATTCTCCGACAGGGAAAAGGCAAAAGACTATCAAAACGGAAGTCTTTTTTATATTACATTCAGTTAAGAAAACTATATTTAAAGTAACTTATTTTGGAGTTAAATGTATTTTTGTAAGGCAGATATACAATTTTGGATTATAAAAATATTACTTTTATAATGGGTAGTCTAAGGTCCTTGGGTTTGAATTCAGTGCGGCTTGTTGTGCGACCTGGGTCCATCTGATGACACAGCCAAACCTTCCTCACTGTCTGTAAAATATGTTAACATCCACCTCGAGGGTGGTTGTTTAGTTAGCTACATCAAGTGAGGCTAAGTCAACAGGGTTGCTGCGCCCGGGCGCTGCTTGGCCACCATTAATTGTACCGCAAGCCAGCAATTCAGTGGTGCGCAGCGCGGGGACGCGTTCAGTTGCAGTCTTCTGACTGCCACTGTAGTAGTTTGGAGTGTAGGATTTGCTTTCGTGTCCCAGTGTCCAAATCTTTATTTTGGGCTCCACATTGAGCTTAAAGAGCACTTCCTGAGCCATCATTCCTAGAATAAAACGTGGAAGGTCAAATATTAACAAGGTCCTGTAGTATTCAGCGTTTCCGCGTGTTTCAGGGAGGAAGGGAACCTTTTTCGTTCAGAAGATCGAACCAGAGCTCGAGAACAAATTACAATCTCATAAAATACGACGGTATCCCAAAAAAGGAAAAAGCAGAACCGAGGAACGACGTGGGTCCAATTTTCCACACGTTCCTACGCACGGAAGCCAGCGCGACGTCTGCAGATTCCCCAAGCGCGGGAGCGCGACAGGGGCGGGGCGCGGCGCGGCCGTAAAGCAACGCCGAGCGCACGGGGTCTCCCTGGCGCCCTTGAAAGCCGGAACCAGCCATGGCGGGCGCGGCGGGCGGCGGACCGGCCAGCTTGGACCTCTTGGGGGCCTTGCCCCGCGTGAGCCTGGCCAACTTGAAGCCCAACCCCGGCTCCAGGAAACTGGTACGCGGGTAGCCGGGCGTCCCCGTGCCCTGCGCGGGGCGGGGGGTGGGTGCAGACCCGGGGCGGCTGCGGTGCGCGCTCCGGTTGGCCCTCGTGCTCCGGTCAGCGCGGGGATGCCAGCCTGGAGAGGAGGGGACCCGGGCACCGCGGAGTGGCGCGTTCAAGTCGAGCTTAAACCGAAGTGCTCTAGGAAAGCGTCTCGTAAAGATGCAGCTGTCAGTTGCCCCCCACTCAGTACAGCTAGAAAGCTTCAGTCATCGCCAGCGTAGCAGTCAGTTCCTTGGTTTCGGGAAGTGGTAGAAAGCAAATTAAGTAAAAGTATGCGATGCAATTACACGTTTGCAATTCCAAAATAAAAAATATATTACGCCTTGTTCTGGCTGTTCTCGGATTTTTTTCTTTTTCAGTCTGGCTCCCCCTCTTTTTTTGTTGAGTTGAATTTACGCCCTTGTGCTTGTTGATCAAGTACACTACCGCTGAGCTATTATATCCCTCCTCTGGAACAAAACCAAACCTTTTATTCTGAGACAGGGCTTGACTAAGTTGGGAATTCTGGCCTTCAATTGTAGGTGTAGCCCATGCAGGCCTTGAACCTTGAATTTTCCTGCCTTGACTTCCTAAGTAACTGATGTTACAGCTCTGCACCCCTGACCAGGCCATGGCACTAGTGTATTATAGAAGATTTACTACCATCGGTTCTCACCCCACCCTTGGACGTTTTTCGTTA